GTACGTTTACTTTAGCAATATCAATATTTGGACGAAGTAACCAGATAACCCAGATGTTCATTAGGATTAGGTTGAGGGGGGAGGGTGGAGGAGGAGGCTAGAGGGAAGGGCAATCAGAATATATTCAATCATGCTTTGCCTATTAAAGGCATCTTCCAAAATTTGCATCACCCCTTTGTAAATTTGGACACTTGCAATGTCTCCCAGTTACGAGGACTTTGGTTTGGAATGGGGATATGGTGGATTTTGAATGGAACATAATTGGAGGTTCCAGAGTCGAAGATTAAGCAAGACGCAAGCATCGTTTACCTTGCTCTGAGCAGAGAGGACCCTTTCACATCTTAATTTACACCCATTTTACATCTCTTTTTCTCTTTCTGCACCATTAACAACCTCTTTGCACAACTCTGTCAAAAGTATGAAAAAACAATTGACCAACTCCTTTCAGTTCTGAAGAACAGTTTTCTTTTAACTCATTCACAGGATGTTAGCAACACCAGCTAGGCCAATGCTTATTGCCGAGAGAGCAATTAAGAGTCAGCCATGTAGAATCATAGAATCCCTATACTGTGGAAGCAGGCCATTCCACCCATCACGTCCATGCCAACCCTCCGAAGAGCATCCCACCCAGACCCACTCCCCCACTCTAACCCTGTAACCCTGCACTTACCATGACTATTCCACCTAACCTGCACATCCCTGTTCACTGTGGATAATTTACCATGGTCAACCCACCTAACCTGTTACTGTGGGCCTGGAGTCACATGTAGGCCAAACTGGGTGAGGATGGCAGATTTCCTTCCCGATAAAGCATGAGTGAACCTAATGGGACTTTCCCCTGACGCTCATCACATGACACTTAGCCTGAATTCAAATTCCACCATCTACCATGGCAGGGTTCGAGCCCAGGTTCCCAGAAAGATACCCAGGTCTCTGGGATAAATAGGCTGGCAATAAAGCCACTAGGCCATCACCTCCCCCCTACACTGTTCTCCAAACAATAACTCTGTTTCCCTCCCCAGACCTGCTGAGTTTCTCCAGTGTTCTCTGTTGTTTGTTTCAGATTTCCGGTGTCTGCAGGATTTTCCTTTTATTTTCCGGATTTTATGGTCATGCTTTCAACAAGTTGGAACATCTCAAAGCTCTCTTCACAGGATAACTTGATCCTGGAGCCTTGTCAGGAAATGTTCGGTTGGGTGATTAAATGTTGGGTCAGAAAGGTGAATTTGAAGGAGTGGTCGAAAGTTGGAAGGAGGCATAGAACGATAGAATATAAATTCTGCAAGGTCTACATAGCTGAAGAAATGGCCACCAGTGCTGGGCTGAAGATAATGAAGGAGGGTAAAGAGGTCAGAAATGGGGGAATGTAGAGATCTGAAAGGGTTGTAGGGTTGTAGGAGGTTAGAGATTGGGAGGGATGGAAGGAATTCAAAACAAGATGAGAACCTCATGTGAACCTAATGGGGAGGCGATGGCCTAGTGGAATTATCGCTGGACTGTTAATCCAGAGACCCAGCTCTGGGGACGTGGGTTTGAATCCCACCGTGGCAGAAGGTGGAATTTGAATTCAATAAAAATATCTGGAATTAAGAATCTAATGATGACCGTGAATCCATTGCCGATTGTCGGGAAAAACCCATCTGCTTCACTAATGTCGTTTAGGGAAGGCAACTGCCATCCTTACCTGGTCTGGCCTACATCTGACTCCAGACCCACAACAATGTGGTTGATTTTGAACTGCCCTCTGGGTAATTAGGGATGGGCAATAAATGCTGGCTAGCCAGCAACACTGTCATCCCATTAAAGGATAAAAGGAAAAAAAAAGTCCCCACATACTTTGAGGTAAATCGCATTGATAGTGCAGGATCTTACAACACAAAAGGAAGGCAAATCATTTTGAGAAGTTGGGGCCATTCTCCTTTAGAGAAGGAGACTGAGGGGAGATCTGATCAAAGTTTTCAAAATCGTGAGTGGGCTGGATAGAGTAGAAAGGGAGAGGCTGTTGCTGATTGTAAAAGGAACAAGGACAAGAGGGCAAAGATTTAACGTGATGCGCCTAAGAAGCAACAGTGATGTGAAAAGAAACCTTTTTCACTCAGCGAGTAGTTAGGGCGTGGAATGCACTGCCTGGAAATGTGGTGGAGGCAGGTTCAACTGAGGCTTTCCAGAAGGTATTGGATGGTCGTTTACATAGTAAGGTTGCGCAGGGATATGGGGAACAGGCAGAAGATTGGCTCCATGCAATACCACCAGTGAAGCATGAAGGGCCAAATGGCCTCCTTCTGCAAAGTAACAATTTTATGGTTCTGTGATTTCTAGGTCACAGAATCATTCCTAAACCTGCAGCCCATTTTCTTTCATTTAAAACTGGATCAGACGAGGGCAACTCAGAAAAAGGAAGTAGGCCGGGGGGGTAGGCAGCAACAGCCTCAGATACAAGATGAGGCTCAGCAGTAGTTTGAGAGGACAGAGGGAGCTGAGGGTATGAGTTTTCCTTTCCAATGGTGATACCGTGGTTACAACAGTCTCAAAATGGGCAAGAGTTATCTGGGAGAATAAAGAGGTGTGGACAATCTGAAGAGAATAGGTGTGAATGGAGGACGTTGAGTGGCTAGATGTTGGGTGGAAAAGAGCTGGAGAGTCAACGTGATGGCCCTAATTAAGATGACAATAGGCAGATGAGGTCAAGGAAGAGAGGCAAGTGTCAAGTTAAAGACTGAAAAGTCAATAGGAGTCAAGTGGAAGGATATGACTATCTACCAAAGCTAAAAGTGTAGGTTGCTAGGCAAACAGGGCCTAAGGATAAGGCTGATGGTGGGACAAAGGCATCTAACCATCAGATTCTCCTTACAGGGAGAATCCAAAACTGGAGGGCACAGGGTTAAGGTGAGAGGGGAAAAATTTACTTGAGGGACCTGAGGGATAACTTTTTCATGTAGAGGCTGGTGCGTGTATGGAATGAGCTGTTAGAGGAAGGGCACATGAATAGAAAAGGTTTAGAGGGATATGGGCCAAATGCTGGCAAATGGGACTAGGGCAGTTTAGGACATCTGATCGGCATGGACAAGTTGGACCAAAAGGCCAATTTCTGTTCTGCCTAACTCTATGACTCTGATCTTGAACAAAATAATAGTTTTGCTTGAGCTGGTCATTAGTAGCTCTCAAAGTAAATGGCCAGTGTAGTCAGTCACCAGGGATAATTTACAGCCAATGATAGATTTGAACTCACAGAGATAACTAAAACATCAGGGGGAAGAGTGGGCAGTGAGGGACGCTGCAGCCTGTAGGCCCATCTTCATCGAGGTAGTCCTGGAGCAGATTGACAACGGGTAGTGGGAGAGGAATTAGGAAAACCGAAGAGGAAGCTGACAGGTGTTGGAGCCTTATTTCTGCCCATGAGTGAGTGAGAGGGGCATTTTAAGGAAAAAAAAGCATGTGTCCTTTCCCTGGCTTTTCATTGAGCATTTGGCAAAAGAGTCAAGATCATGACAAAAAAGTCAGCCTCTTTTCAAACTCCCAAATCCAACTTCTGCCTCTGTTAACTCTGTACCCAGATTTGCCCAGTTCCAACTCCCTTTTAAAATTATTGATGGAATCAGCTCCCCGTCACCTCATCAGTTAGAACGTTCTAGATGACCACAGTCCACTGAGGGGACAAACGGTGCTGAGGTACGCTGGCAACGAGTGATTAGGTTGCATATTGAAACAACACCGGTGGGTTACGGTATGTGGCAGAAGAAGAAGCAAAGTCTCGCCATTTCAAAGTGTTCAGAGAGTAGGACTGAAGAATAGAACACTGTACAATGTACAATGAAGCGAAAGGAAGGACTGTGTCTGTAATGTGGCAGCAACAAGGGATAACTGGCTACAGTAGTATTGAAGGCCTCAACTACACCTGCTCAACCACATTTCTAGGCCGTGCTTTCCACACCCTAACTAATCAACGCGTGCAGAAGGTTTTTCTCAAATCATCCATGCTTCATTAGCATATCACTTTCAATCTTTGAAAGGATATCGATCATAAGGAGATAAATGGAGTCAAGGCCACAACTTGAGGCTGAGCCATTGAATATGTTCAAGGCTGAGACAGACAGAATTTTAATCAGGGATAACAGGGATAGGGTAAAAAAGTGTAGTCAAGGATTATCAGATCAGCTATAATATAGTCTTCTCACTGAATGGCAGAACAGACTTAATCCAGAATGCCTGGAAGCAGGCCATTCAGCCCATCAGGTCCACACTGACCCTCCAAAAAGCATCCCACCCAGACCCAGCCCCTTACCCTATCCCAGGGACCCTGCATCTACCATGGTCAATCCACCTAACCTACACATCTTTAGACTGTGGGAGGAAACCAGAGCAATCTCACACAGACGTGGGAAGAAGGTGCAAACTCCACATACACAGATGCCTCAGGCTGGAATCAAACCCAGGTCCCTGGCACTATAAGGCAGCAGTGCTAACCACTGAACCACAGTGCCACCTGAATGAGCCAGCTGATCGATTTCTGCTCCTACGTCATATGATCTTGTAAAAATCAACCATGAAGGGAGGTCATGGCTCAGTGGCATTATCGGTAGACTGTTCATTCAGAGAATCAGGTAAGGCTCTGGGAACTCGGGTTCAAATCCTGTCACGGCAGATGGTGGAGTTTGAATGCAATAGACGTTTAGAATTTAATGATGACCATGAATCCATTGTGATTGTTGGGGAAGAAACCATCTGGTTCACTAATGTCCTTTAGGGAAGGAAACTGCCATTCTTATCTGGTCTGGCCTACATGTGACTTCAGACACACAGCAATGTGGTTGACTTTTAACTGCCCTCTGGGAAATTAAGGATGGGCAATAAATGCTGCCTAGCCAGTGACACCTTCATCCCGTGAACAAATAACTTCTAAAATATGCTCTAACTGCGCAACAAAACATATCACGGAGTTGAATGGCTTCCCCCCACTCCTGGAGGTCTTACCTTAAGCAGTTTTGACATCTCCAGCTTACCTTTGTTGTTAATGAATTCTTCGAATGTTTCATTCCAGGGCCAAATGTAATCCCCTGTCTCATTAATCACAGTCTCACCGAATATTCGCCAGTCCTGCACACATTTCTGACGCAAGTTCCCCATGAAAAGCTGAAGACCAATGAGTGCAAAGACACTTAAGCAGAACACAGTCAGAATCATGACATCGGCTAGCTTTCTCACGGATTGTATCAATGCACCTACAATGGTTTTTAAGCCTGCAAGGAAACATTAGAACATTTAGCTCAGTAGAGATGGCACGTAGTCAATGTTTTCAGGAAATTAACTCAAGTAGATTGACGATGTAGTGTTTCTTTTCACTACTGTGTAACAGACACCATTTAGACTTTGCTAAGAAAGAGCTAAGAATGGAAAAGCCCCTATTTTATTCACATTGCAACAGGCCTAATTTCCCCTTCCCTCTGGAAGTGGTGAGAAAGGATGGTCACTGGCCAAGTTGGCCCTGGTGAGCTATGCACCCACTTCTCACCATCTCATTTCATAGAATCCCTATGGTGTGGAATCAGGCTATTCAGCCCAACAAGTCCAGACTAACCCTCCAAAGAGTATCCCACCCAGACCCATCCACCTGTAACCCTGCATTTCATAGAATCCCTACAGCATGGAAACAGGCCCTTCGGCCCAACAGGTCCACACCGTACCTCAGAGCATCCCACCCAGACCCATTCCCCCTGTAACCCACCTAATCTACACATCCCTGAACACTACGGGCAATTTAGCATGGCCAATCCACCTCACCTGCACATCTTTGGACTGTGGGAGGAAACCGGAGCACCCGGAGGAAACCCACGCAGACCCGGGGAGAATGTGCAAACTCCACACAGACAGTCGCCCGAGGGTGGAATCGAACTCAGATTCCTATCACAGTGAGGCAGTACTGCTGACCAGTGAGCCACCGTGCCACCCGCGCATGGAGGTCCATGGGCAGTCATCTTGATCCACTGCCAGTTAAGACCCTCTGGTAAGCAACTAAAGGCTCCTTAAGGGCTTCAACAAGCCCACCTCCCTGATCACCTGGCGTTCCAGCCGCTGTGTGGGCGTGGCTAATTTCCTGACTCAGAAACCAGGGTAAGCCCCCTGTCTGCCAGGTTTGGCTGGGGCTAGGGAGGGGGATTCTGGGGGCAATCAGAGGCAGGGAAGCAGTTACCAAACACAAGAGCAAATTGAGGGAGAAGGTGTGCTCTCTCGTGTGAACATCTGAGCCAGCAGCAGCTGTAAGTTCCCTAAGTCCGCTCTGCCATTTCTTAAGATCACAGCCTGTCTAATTGGAAACTCAGACCCACATTCCCACCTACTCCCAATAACCTTTCACCCCTTGGTTTAACAAGAATCTATCTAACCCCTGCCTTAAAGATATGCAAGGAATCCGATTCCAACATCTTTTTAGGAAATGAGTCCCAAAAACTCATGACCCACTGAGAGAAAAAAATTCACCTTATCTCTTTGAAATGAGTGACCACTTAATTTCTGACCGCGACCCCTAATTCTTAATTCTCCTCTAAGAGGAAACATCCTCTCCAGATCCATTGTATCAATACCCCTCAGGATCATATATGCTTCAATCAATTCAACTTTTAGTCTCCTAAATTCTGCAGATATGAGCCAAGCCTGTTTGGCTTTATTCATAAAACAACACACTCATTCCAGGTATTAGTCTAGTAAACTTTCTCTGAATTGCTTCTAACATATTTACATCTTTCTTTAAACAAGGAGTTAAATACTGTGCATAGTATTCCAGATATGACCTTACCAGTGCCCTATAAAACTGGAGCATAACCTTTACACTTCTGTATTCAATTCCCACATGATAAATGATGACATTCTATTCATTTTGCTAATTACTTGCTTAACCTGCACACTAACCTTTTCTGATTCATGCACTTGTACACCCAGATCCCTCTGCATCTCAGAGCTCTGGATTATTGATTTCCGCTAAGAATCTTTCTCTTTGTAAAAAACAAGGAGTTAATTTACAAACGAAGGGCAAGATTCACTTTGTGTACCAAAGTGGAAACACGTTTGGAATGAGCGAACTTGTTGTTCTAAAATTTATTCTCAGAGAGCTCGATTACTACTAGAAATGTGTCTAGAAATTCTGCTGGGCCATGAAATGGATTAAAGATGCTAAGAGCACAAAATCATATCAGAACTGAACTAAAAAAAAGAAAATAGGGAGGGATAGCTGAGGATCTGCAGAGTACATTGTCAAGACTAGTCATTGTCATTGTCAAACAGAGACGGAGGAGGAGAGAAGAAGGGATGACAGGATTAAGATTAACAGACTAAATGGATATTTTCCTATTTGCCATTTTTCTAAAAGAATGAATGTCTCCAAACATCCTGAAACATTGCTGCACAGATAGCAGAGAAACAGACCATTTGACCCAACTGGACCACGCAAGTCTTCATGCTCTGTATAGAGTCTCCTCAGACAAATTTATATCAGCCAATTTTTCAACTCACTCTAATATTCAATAATGTCCTTTAGGCAAGGAAATCTGCCATCCTTAGTCTGGCCTGCATGTGACTCTAGACCCACAACAATGTGTTTACTCTTACCTGCCCTTTGAAAAGGCCTAGCAAACCATCCAGTCTGACCAAACCACTAGCGACATGCTGTTGTTTCTGTCAGTTAGATCTCCTGATATTGATCTAACTGACAGAAACAACAGCAAACCAGGCTCTGTTGTCCCTGCAAAGTCTTCCTTACCAACATCTGATGGCTTATGTTACAACTTTTTTATTCGTTGATGGGATGAGGCCATCACTGGCTAGGCCAACATTTATCGTCCATCCCTAGTTACCCAGACGGCAGTTATGAGTCAACCACATTGCTGTGGGCTTAGAGTCACATGTCGGCCAGACCAGGTAAGGATGGCAGTTTTCTTCCCTAAAGGGCATTAGTGAATCTGATGGGTTTTTCCAACAATCGACAATAGATTCATGGTCACTATTAGACTCCAAATTTCAGGTTTTAATGAATTCAAATTCCACCATCCTGGTTCTCACTCTAACGTGAGCATTTATTTCTCAAAAACATAGGAAAGAGAGAAGCTATTCAGCCCCTCAAGCCTGTTCCACAGATGCTCTCTATCTAAACCCTCTCTGCACCCACCTTGGTTTCTTATCCCTCAACACGGTCACCCACCAGAAATTTATTAATCTTGATTCTGGCCCTTTCGATTTCCTTGCCTTTCCAGCTTGTATTTTTGCAGGACAGAGTTCCTGATTGCCCTTCATATTTAATATCACCTTCCAAATAACCCAGTTCCAATTTCAAGTGCCCCTTTCTTCTGCACTTCAGAGAACTATCAATCATGATTTAACCTTTAAAGTCCATCAGAGTCAAGTAATCAATTCAATCCTTGTCTCCATCTGAAGGGAGTAGTGTCAACATTCATAGATTCTCACAGCACAGAAAAGGCCCTTCAGCCAATCAATTACCACTAAAGGTGCGCTAATCCCAATTTCCTGTACTTACCCCATATCCTTGAAAGTTATGATATTGTCACAATATTCGAACTCCAAATTATAGGGGGTAAAGCAACGCTTTGTTATTTGGTTATATAGCCAATAATGCATCTCAGTAATGTTCAGCTAATACTGTTCATGACAGCCTCATATTGGCAGGGAAACGTTGCAGAAACAATCAATAAGATGCTCCACAATAAATAGTGTTGCCACATTTCACAATACCTTGCAATTATCTGCTTTCGCAGCTCTCTGCCACCTGGCCCAGTCTAATCATTGGACTGCATGCTGCCAATCTCCCCTGAACTAGGCCGAGTAGGTACCATCCCAGAAGCCTCCGCAGAGCAGCGAAAGCCAATTATTGGAAATGGGAGGATAGCACATCCCTTAGAAGCAGGGAGGCTCTTTCCACTGGTGGGTGAAACTAGAACTAGAGGGCAAAGCCTCAAAATAAGGGGGAGCAGATTCAGGACTGAGCTGAGGAGGAACTTTTCACCCAAATGGTTGTGAACGTGTGGAATTCCCTGCCCAGCGAAGCAGTTGAGGCTACCTCGTTGAATGTTTTTGAGGCAAAGATAGATAGATTTTTGAAGAGTAAAGGAATTAAGGGTTATGGTGAGTTGGCAGGTAAGTGAAGCTGATCAGCCATGATCTTATTAAATGGCCAAACCTGCTCCTATTCCTTATGTTCTTACCCAACCTGAAAGATTACTGAGGGCTATGCAGGAATGTAGATTTGACATTAACATCAGATCAGCCATGATCTTATTGAATGGCGGAGCAGGCTCAAAGGGCCAAGTGGCCGACCCTTGTTCCTTGTTCATATGTTCATAACCTTCTGAATTCATGGAAACATTCCTCAGTTGTACATGGTAGGAAAAGTAGACAGGTCTTGTATTCTAGTGACTTCAATGAAGTGTCAACCATGGTTCAGTCAATGTCACCTAAGCTTTAGGAACCATCAGGTTGATGGTTCAAGTCTCCCACCAGAAAAATGAGCAAAATTCTAACCTGGCACTCCAGTACAGTATGAGAGGAGCTGCCTTCCTGACAAGGGGACAAACCGTGATTTTGTTTATGGGCATTCATCACTTAGAGGAGGAGTAGTCCTCTAAACTAATGTATTTTATTCAGTCGTGGAATGTGGGCATCAATAGCTGGGCCTGCATTTATTGCCCATCCCTAATTGCCCTTAGATTCAATGACACCACTTTCTCAGCCCTTTCAGAGGGCAGTTATGAGTCAACCACATTTTTGTGTGTCTAGAGTCATTTGTAGGCGAGAGACCAGGGAAGGACAGCAGTTTCCTTCCCTAAAAGGACATTGGTGAACCAGATAAGTTTTTATGACAAACCGATAATGGTTTCATGGTCGTCACTAGACTTTAATTCCAGATTCTAATTGAATTCAAGTTTCACCGTCTGCTGCAGTGGGATTTGAACCCAGGTCCCCAGAACATTACCTGCGATTACTAGCCCATTGCCTCCTTTTAAATGATATATATTGAGCAGCTCAGGAATTTGGACCTTGACTGGCTAAAGTCCATTGGAATGAGAGGTGATCACATGGAAACATGATAGTCTAAAGAGGCTTAGCAGTTTCAACTGGAAATTCTACTCCTATGAAACTAACACCATTGCTAAATATCATCAATTTTATCTGCTATTGCAACTGTTTGGTTAGCTAGGTGTCCAATAGCAGCATTTTTAGTCTACATTTCAAGTCA